TTTGCTGGCTGAGCGTTTGTTACCTGTCTGAATCCTAGTCTTGACTGGTGGTAAGAACTCTTCAAACTTTGCCAGTCTCTGTTGCCTAATTCCCAGTGGCATTAGACTACAATCTGGGCAAAAGCCTCCTTAAGATGGTCGATGCCCAAACAGCCAGGGCAGTGAATATGTGCATCCATAAGGTCCATAGGACCTGAACATGTAGAACAGGAAGCAGCCATAGTGCCTATGACTTTAGGAAAGTAACCCTGGTCAACCATATTTATAATACAGTGCTGAAATAATAACGCGTTACGTGGTTGCCACAGTAACGGCACACAATAACCGACACCCTGGTTTACCAGTGAGCGCAACAATAGTCTGAGTGCACAGGTATGCGGTGAACACAGAACCTTGGTAAACCAATAAGGTCCAATAGTACTCACCACAGCAGTTGGAACACCGCTTGTTTAAGGACCTTGGATAACCAATGGGTCCAATAAATCCAATCCAAAAACCCAATGACAAATCCAATATAATTCAACGCAATCGCGCTGTCTTTGCTCTTTTGAGACACAGCTATTGCGGAGAGCGAACGTCAACCCAAAAGCTGTGCATGCTCAAACGAGATCTCTCCGCGAGAATGACAAAGAGACCGACCATGATGTAGTCAGGAGCTGATATAGCTTCACGTGTGACTGAATTAATACAACATTCTCGATGTGATGCGTGAGATGCGACTCCTTTCCATCATGTATTGACCGTCTCTGGCATTCTGAAACTTTTTGTAAAAAAAAAACATACTTTCAATGAACTTTAATTTTGTAAATGACCTGTATTTGTTTAAGTTATTATTACTTAATCAAAACAACCCAACTGCAGTTTGATTAATATTACTTGGAATGCGCAATAAAAAAATTTGATTTCTGAAAAAAATATAAAAATGGAGTTATCGTTTTTTTGCAAATTAACTCTTCAGTAGTAACCAAGACATTTCCTATCTGTCAGTTGTCATGTTAAGATAAGTCAGTATTTGACAAGAGTATCGTAATGGAGACATGTGACCAGCAAGAGGCTGAAGAGTTACAAAACAATGTTTCTGATATTCACGACAAAGAATTACCCGAGTCTCACATTGATTATCACTCTCATGACATACTAGAGCAACCATACTGTACCAGATCTGGGAGATTAGTGAGAGTACCGGCGAGATACAGAGACTGAGTTTCAAGAAACGTGGTTCTGTTTGAAGTTTTGGCATGTAGTACACTCAGATTACATATTGTTGTTCCGTTTATCAATTGAAAAAAAAAGGAAGAGGGATGTCATGTGTGCATTGTGAATGCATTGTGTGCCTTAGGGGCATTCCGTAGTTGTCATGCATATTGGGGGCGGGGTAGAAAGGATTAGTGAATAAAATAGAAGTTTGGCATCCGAACACCTGAGCTTCGAGTCCTTTCATCAATATAAAATATAATATCAGTCACTTTGACTTCGTGTCGAATTACTGTCATTAAGGGTCCCTATACTTAACGCCACAACCTGCTGAACTGTTACAAGTTTTTGCAGGTGCAGATGCACTCCTAACCATCTCAACGGCCCGGGTAAGTGACCTAAATCCCCCTATCCAAGGGAGTTGTCCTGACTATGGGAATAGGTGCTTTAGCCAGTGTTCATTTTGACAGGCATTTTTGATTTAGTCTTAGTCTTTATCTTGAGACGAAAATGCTTAATAGTCTTAGTCACATTTTAGTCATTTGAGTCTTTCATAGTTTTAGTCGACGAAAGGTCACAGCATTTTTGTCAACTTTTAGTCATTATTTTAGTCAAACTGCAGTTACCAACATTTACTTTGGTAGCTATTTTATATATAGTCATTAATTCTCTCTTTAGACCAAATAAATTAAGTTTATGAGAAAGTTGAATCAAGGATTAAATTTGGAAAAACTTGAATAAATGACAGTTTTCATTTTTGGGTGAACTATCCCTTTAACAGTAGTGAAAAGGGAGCAACTTATAAAAATTATAGTTGTTCATGTATAATATAGATAATATATATAATTTATACATTTTGAAAAAGAAGCACAATAAGACAAATACGAAAGAGATACAAATTCAACTAATTTTTCAGATACAGTAGATTTACTTAACATGTGTACATTTATTTAACATCTTTTGTTGGTTAACATTAATGACAAGGATAGGCACTTAATTAGGAATGCTGTCCCTTTAAGAGGGAAGGCATGCATGTAATACTGACACACGTTCAGTTTTCACCCACCTGTTTACGTTTACACTTAATCCAAAACCGACTGTATTTACGTGAGATACTCTACAGTCTACACGATAGACATTTGGACTGCTGTGTGTGTATTTGAGCGCTGAGAACTGATCGTGCACTGTATATGAGAACTGAAAAAGTGGAGTGTGCGTGAGAGAGCACTTCTATTCTATTCTGACCCCTTTTTTTTTCTTTTTTTTTTTCTTTTTTTTTTTACAGCTAAGCAGTCCTGCTTGTTTATGTTGGGGAAGCACTCCCATTATCATTGTTTTCTTTCTTTCTTTCTTTCTTGTGATATTTTTCAAGCAGATGCATTAGTAAGTAGGCTACACCAGAGGAATTCAATTGTTATTGAATTTAATGCATGTGTGAGGTACAACATTTATATTTAGTCATTTTGCAGACGCTTTTATCCAAAGCGACTTACAATTGGGGGATACATAAAGTGATTCTTCTTAAAGAGGCAGATAAAGGAAGTGCTTGTAATACCAAGTTTCTAGACATTGTTCAAATAAGTACAAGCTAGAAAGAGAAGTCAAGTAGCTTCGAAAGAGATGAGTTTTCAGCTGTCACTTGAAAATTGTCAGAGATTCAGCATTCCAGATAGGGGTGGGAAGATCGTTCCACCAGCCAGGAGTGGTGAATGAGAATGTTCTGGAAAGTGAGGTACAAAATATTATTAATTGTTAACACTGTGACCACACCAGTGTTCTGAATTCATTTTTAATAAAAGCTCATTTCTATATTTGTATAATTAAGTGGTTCTCACTTCCAGTCCACCGCTCTGCACATTTTGTGTATCTCTTATCACTTCAGATGTTTGTTCTATTCGACAGTAAGTGCCCTGAAAAGTTGACATCACAGAATATTCCACCATGATTCCAGTTCGAAGGGAGCATATAAGTTCCATTCAAAGGGCATTAAAGTGTGTGAGACGCAAATTTAAATTTGATTTATTTATAGAGGTATATTATGTCACACTTCGGGCTGACATCTGTCAATGTTGACACATTAATTTACAGGCAAGTCTTGTGAGAAAGAAAACATCTGAACAAGTTTGACAGGTTAAGCTTAAATAATTCCTTGGTTCAGTCATGTA